TGATCAAAATTAATAATTATTATTCCTGTTCTCTCTTCTTCTTGATTTTCCTTTCCCTCTGGCCTGCATCTCGGTCCCTCTTGAGGCTCCTTTTCCTGTCCTGTCCTCCTCTCTGTTGGGAGTCAAAAGGAGGCTCTGCTGGCCTGATTCCAACTCTTGGGATGGTTGGTGTAGCCAGGTTTCTTGACACTATTAGCAATATTTGAATACTTCAACCAAAAAATACTTTGATTCATGAGTTTCTGACGGTTTTTATTTTTTCATTATTTGTGTTTGTTATGAAATTGGTCTTAAATTGAACTTCACTTGACCTGTGATCCAACAGAACTACAGTTGGTCTCTGCTGAATGGACATGGGGGACATCGGTTGAATGTTAAATTTTTTCACTTTTGAAAACAACTTTCTTTTTATTCCCCTCTTAATGTTGTTGAATTGCCCTCGCTGTGGGACAGCACCACGTCTCAGGCCATCGCCRTCGGGATGAAGATGAACGCAGACTTCATCATGTTGAACCACTTCAGCCAACGTTACCCCAAGATCCCCATCCTCAGTGAGGACCTACCCAACCGGGTGGGAGTATCCTTCGACCACATGAAGGTAAGAGCTGATTTAAAACATGAAACCATCTTCAGACCCCCGCTCCRACTGAACACAGACCCTCTGCTTACAGCTTCGCTTTGCAGACTTTAAAACCCTTCCCAAGCTGATCCCGGCCCTGAAGAGCCTGTTTGCAGAGGAACTGGAGATGATGGAGGAGAGGATATTGAAGGCAGAACTGAGGTCCAGACGATGGGAATCGAAACAGGCCGGCCTGTCTGAGGCCGAGCGAGGAGGAAAGAGAGAACCTGACAAGGTGGTGGCGCCCGGCGAGGACGCCAAGAGACTGAAGCTCAGCTGATCCCATAGGAAGTCTGCCTGACTGCAGCTGTTATTTACAAGAGTTTTAGTTGCTGTTTTTTATTTAAGTGCAGAAAACAAAATGAGCTGTGAGGAAAGTTTGTTTTTCATTAAACAGAACGAAGCAAAACACTGGATCATGTCTGCTTTTATTTTGAAACTTTTGTTTATGTAGTGGTCACCTAGAGGTGGAATAAACCGTTCCACCGGTCTTTGACCTTGGTCTCAGAAACCCTCCTTCAGACAGAACCATTTAAAACTTAGTTTAAGCCACAATGTGTCTTCTCAAACAGAGACGTTTTCTTCTTCTTAATTAAGATAATAAACTAAATAATAAAGTTATTTATATTTTTTGAGTTATATTTTAACTAAAAGCTATCATTTTATAAATTTATCAATTCAAAAATTATTC